CTTCATGAAGAAATATTGTACAACAAATTGGGATACTTTCAGTAAGTTGCAACATCTTTGAGTGAATGAAGACACAATAACATAAGTGGTATTCATCATAAAATTCCTGACAATTGTGATTTCCCTGATGTTAAAGGTGATTCCTTACCACTCATACACATATAACTTGAACTCAAATCAAGGATTAAGATGCTGGCCAAATCTACACAATGTCTGGGCAAAATATTTTATTCCTGAGATGCTAGTAGACCAAAGAACTGAAAAAAAAATCACACCATGGATTGTAAGGATAAGGCCACAAATTATAGACCAGACATTTTATTTTACAGGTGGGAAACTTCTAGAAATAATTATTTGGGATAGAATTAAAAGAAAGGTAAAGTTGCCATCATCCTTCTAGACCATAGGGCTGCTCTCTCCTCAGAGAAGGAGAGAGAGAGAGACGACAAGTGGTGGTTTAACCTGAGGGTCACCATGCCTCAGGCGAGGGGAAATGTTGAGAAGGAGAGCCCTTCATGGCAACCTCAGCTGGTGTGCCATGATGCGGAGGTACCAGTGTTGGACTGGGGCAGACAAGGTCAGAAGTTACTGAAGACTTCACTTGAAGGGGCAGCGCTCTGAAAGCTTGTGATTTCAAATAAATCTGTTGGACCATAACCAGGTGTCATGTGACTTCAGCAGGTGTGGGAATTGAACCCATACCATGCTGTTCATGGCACACTGCATTGCAAGACAGTCATCCAGTCAACAGAAATAATCAGCACCCTGAATCAAATTAGTAGTCATACGAAAACAGATGGGTTGATTAGGAAGAATCAGCATGATTTCAAAAAGGGAAATCACGTGTAACTAACTTTCTGGATTTTTGTTTGAATGAAGTAACAGGTGATGAGTGAAGTGATGAGGTGAAGTGATGGGTGAAGTGATGGGTGAAGTGATGAGGTGAATTGATGGGTTGAAGTGATGGGTGAAGTGATGAGGTGAATTGATGGGTTGAAGTGATGGGTGAAGTGATGGGTGAAGTGATGGGTGAAGTGATGGGGTGAAGTGATAGGTTGAAGTGATGGGTGAAGTGATGGGTGAAGTGATGGAATGAAGTGATGAGGTGAAGTGATGGGTGAAGTGATGAGGTGAATTGACGGGTGAAGTGATGGGTGAAGTGATGGAATGAAGTGATGAGGTGAAGTGATGGGTGAAGTGATGAGGTGAATTGACGGGTGAAGTGATGGGTGAAGTGATGGAATGAAGTGATGAGGTGAAGTGATGGGTGAAGTGATGAGGTGAATTGACGGGTGAAGTGATGAGGTGAAGTGATGAGGTGAAGTGATGGGGTGAAGTGATGAGGTGAATTGATGGGTGAAGTGATGGGGTGAAGTGATGAGGTGAAGTGATGAGGTGAAGTGATGGCTGAAGTGATGGGGTGAAGTGATGGGTGAAGTGATGGGTGAAGTGATGGGGTGAAGTGATGAGGTGAAGTGATGAGGGGAATTGATGGGTGAAGTGATGGGGTGAAGTAATGAGGTGAAGTGATGAGGGGAAGTGATGGGGTGAAGTGATGAGGGGAAGTGATGGGGTGAAGTGATGAGGTGAAGTGATGGGTGAAGTGATGAGGGGAAGTGATGAGGTGAAGTGATGGGTAAAGTGATGAGGTGAAGTGATGGGGCGAAGTGATGAGGTGAAGTGATGGGCTGAAGTGGTGAGGTGAAGTGAGGGGTGAAGTGATGAGGTGAAGTGATGAGGGGAAGTGATGAGGTGAAGTGATGAGGGGAAGTGATGGGGTGAAGTGATGAGGTGAAGTGATGGGTGAAGTGATGAGGTGAAGTG